CAAACAGAATCTGGGTTTAAAATTTTGAAAAATAGGGAATTTTCAAAAAATGAATGTTATCATGTTATGTTCAGTTGGTTCTTTTTACTCCCTCACTTTTGAGGAGATGATAAGAAATACTATTTTTTTCTCTTAGTATAACTGGTGAGTTCATAATTATCAATCTCAGCAGGCAAACTGTGATAGATCTGATGTGACTCTTCTGGGTTTTTTCAGAGACCAAGCCAGTATTGCAGATCTGTTTAATGTTCCACTGTATCCAGGTGACTATATGGATATGGCTATTTCTGCGTAAAAATGAAAATGATTTAAATATGATAATATATTCTCCAGACATTTTAAATTCCATGGAATAATAAAGCTTTTTATCCACTGTTCTGATAAATCATTATGATGGAAGTCAAACCTAGATTCCTGAAAATTATGCCAATAGAGTTTATTCTCTGGAAGATTCTATCAAAATGCAAAGGTTTTGACTATGAGCTTGTCAACAGAATGTAGGTTTATCATCTAAGGATAAGCCTAGCTAAGTTGAGTGAGGCTCGTCACCAAGGTGGCCAAAGGATGATGAGTTTTCACACAGAGCAACCCTTTATGATCATCTCCTGAGCCAACACTGCAGAGGGTTGCAACCTAAATCTAAGGAGTTGTAACTTAAACTACCTTGTGCCCCTTCTTCCTGGAAGCAAGGTGTGTTCCATTTCATCCATCCCCCAGGGTTCTCTGGTACCCTTAGGAAGGTTTGAAATCTCTAGGCTCTTCCAGAGGTTCCAATGGTGTTTTCCTCAAGTGTAAGAAGTGGGTTTCCCTGAATGTTAGTTCCATTTAACAACTATCAATTGGATTTGTTTTTACAAAGAAATATTTACTTCAAAGGCATCATAAAAAAATATACAACATACTCCACAATACATGGAAGGTATAATCTCCCCTTCCTACCGCCCATATCACCCCAGTCTGTGGGGAAGGAAAAGGAACTAAGTTCATAGCTTAGCTCAGTTCCTATATAACACAGTCCCAGTTCTAAGTCCAAAATCCCCCTTAGGCTTACTCTCCAGGTTCCCTGACTTCTCAGGGCTTCATCCCTCCTGAGCTAGCTGGCTGCAACTTCCTGCCTGGGTTCCCAGCTCCAAGGCTCAAACTCTCAGGTCCCATGGGTACTTGCACCAAGACACTGAGAAGGACAAATGAAACAGTATAGAAATATATACCAAGCCAGAAGGCCTAACAGGAGAGGGCAAGGTATATTCTCAGGTTAGTTCATGGCACCCAAGCTGTGGGTGAACTTGGTGAGATCTTCTGCCTTTGGATACAGTACGAAAGAACATGTATGAAAGAGAGCAAAACTCTTTCAATCTGGAAGTTTAAAATATGCAGCCTGTTGCAGCTACACGGCCAATCAAAAAAAGCTATCTCCACTTACGAGGTAGGAGAACATCTGGAAGATGTTTCCTCCAAGAAGCAGGGTGTCACCATGTTAGATCTGGGTACATGCAAAGCAAGCTCCTATTACAAAGGGGAGCAGACTGAGATCCTTGGAATATTAAAGCACAAATATTTTATGTAATTATGTGTCATATTCTGAGGTAAACTACTTTTATCAGACTCTTTTGCTTTTATCATTGTTCTTTTTGAAGGGTATCCTTGATAAAAATATGAAAAGGAAACAAACTGGGGCTTCCATGAAGAATTTTCAGGAGAATAGCAAACCAGATCTTTACAGTCATACATTTGACTGAAAGGTGATGGGAATACAAAATCCTGCTGTTGACTACAAAATTCTATATTGACTACAAAAAGGCAAAAATGTTCTCCAACAAGGAATCACAAGGACATGTGTTATGATCATACAAGCTTCCCTGTAGCCACTTAATTTCAAAAGGTATTAATTTATTAAGCACAAAGACCCAGACCTGGAAGGGACCTCAAAGGTCAGCTAGTCCAACCCCCTTATTTTCAACAGATGAGTAAGCTGAGGCCTAAAGAAGATAACATGCCCAAGGTCACAGGGTAAGTTACTGGAAGTAGGATTTGAATATGGGACATATTCTTCTTTTTTTTTTTTGTCCTTTTTTTTTTAAAGGCAATTGGGGTTAAGTGACTTGCCCAGGGTCACACAGCTAGTAAGTGTCAAGTGTTTGGTCTGAGGCTGGATTTGAAATCAGGTCCTCCTGACTTCAGGGCCAGTGCTCTATCCACTGCGCCACCTAGCTGCCCCAGGGACATATTATTCTAAGGTCAGTGTTTTCTCTTTCCACTATTCCATACTTCATCAATCTCCAGACCGCTACAAGGCCTCTTCAATGAGGAGAATGAAGTCAGCCTACAATCTCTATAGAAAAACTAAATGGATGAAAATGCCTACTGTCTAGACTGTTGTTGCAGCCTGTCCATTGAGTTAGTACATTAGTACTATACAAATACCTGGGTGAAAACTACATATAGATAATAAATTGGGCCCAGAATGGCACAAAAAAAAAGAGAACAAGATAAATAGAACTTGGAAAATGGGGCACAAAGATCAATCTTTCCAAAACAAATGTTCTCCTAGAAGCTCTCTTTGGCTGCAAATCTCAGAACACAATTCCTAAGGAATTAAAAGTTGCGAATAACAAAGGACAACGGAAAGATACCTAGAGGCCACGCTGGGTGGACCATCTGTGGAGTACCTATGGAAGAATATGATCAAGAATCTATCCCACAGGAGAAGGAAGCATGAATAGGATGCAATCTGCATTGCTGAAGAGAATTCCTATCAATGAAATTCCTGATCCTTCTGAGTGTAGAAGTTAGTCCCATACGAATAAGGCTGAAAAGTAGTATCAAATTCATAAGCAAGGCTGTGATCTTTTACTTCCATCCTTTATATTTAATAATGATGCAACTGAAGTGATCATCTGAGTGTAAAAGGTGTGACTGAAAAAGACAAATGTATAATAGTGTCTTTCATATCACACAATTACAGCATGTCTTTTGCTTTGTAGCTGCAACTTTTTTTTTTTGGTAGAGTCTGGAATGTTCTGATTTCCATTTCTTAGTTACATTGGCCCCCCCAATTTCTAATGGTAGCACACCAAAGCACTAAATTTGTCATTGTTGTTTCCTAGCAGTTAATAGTTATGTTTCACTGTTTCATGTGTTTTAGCCTTGTTTAACCACTTCCCCAAGTACAGTGAGCAGTACATTCTGAAACAAGTCTGCTCGGGAACCCAGGGTGCCAGTACTAAATGGCATGGGTGAATTTTGAGTAACTTAATAACAGATATCCTGGTTCACCCGCTTGCATTGGGATGTTGGTATTTAAGACACTGAAGAACACCGGGGCCAGCATCATAGAATCTTAGAACTGGAAGGGCTCTTAAAGATCATCTAGTGCAACTCCACCATTTTACAAATTAAGAAGTGGAGGCTGGAAGTGATGAGGAGATTTGCCTAAGTTCACACAGCTAGTTGGTAGAAGAATCAATCTAAAACTCAGGTCTTTTGACTTCTGATTCAATGCTATTTTCAATATGTATTGCTAACTTTCTCTTTTGTGGAACTGCATGAGCACAGGTCATGGGACTTTAGAACTAGAAGACATACTTTAGTCTAACCTCTGCATTTTATAGGTAGCATAGCAGTAAAACAGCATAGTAGAGCTGGAAGGGATTTAGTGACCATCTGGTCCAACTTCATTTTACAAATTAATAAAATGAGGCCTACAAATGACTTGCCTTGGGTTATGTGCACAAAAGCCTGCATTTCCCAATAAAACATGCAAGGTGAATGTTCAAGAAACTGATTTTGCAAACACTAATCATAATGGATGCCAAAAGCCCGGCACAGTGCTAGATGTGCCTGAGAGAGCACAAAAAGAATAGAGAATAAGGTAAGCTTTGACTTGTTTCTATCCAGTTTTTTTTTTTTTTTTTGCCTTTCAGGCCACCCTCCTAAAAACAATCATGACCAGGACCATGTGGCTACTAGACCATATGTGTTCCACCAGGCCAAGGACAATTCTTTACCTTAACCTCTACCATCTACTCTAGAACTTAGCAGAGAGCTCTGCAACTGAGCAGCTGCTCAATAAAAACTGAATTTCACTGAATTATAAATTCAAGAAGCCCAAATTCAGCGCCATAGAAGTTGGGGCAGAAAGGTTATTGTTTGGTGGCATCAATGGAAATGCATGGCTGCGGGGAAAGGGGGAGAGCCGGTGACAAAACAGCTGGGCTCCCAGTTCCAGGACTTGTGTGGGAATCAATCCCAGCTCCGCCCACTTGCTACCTGTGCTACCTTGGACCAGTCCCTTCCCTTCCCTGGACCCTCAGTGTGGGGAAGGGACTGGTAATCTCGAAATCAGCGGGCTTCATCCCAGCCCTACCCCCATGCCACTTCGGTCATGGAAAGCCTTCAGTCCTCTTTCCTTCCTCCCTCCAGCTTCCAAGAGGTACCCATTCCTAAGCCCTCCCCCTGAGGAACGCCCAAAGGTGTCTGGGGGAGGGGAGGCGCGGGCACTGGGTCTGGAGGGGCGGGGCCTCGACCATGACGTCCCCTGTAGCTCCACTCCCCCCACCCCTCTTCCAGGCCACCACAAACCGCCTTCACTGGCGGGTGGCCTGACGGGTAAACAAAACGCCGCCCGCGCGCTCTACAACCGGCCTCGCGCCGAGCCCTCGGCCCCGCCCCGCCGGAGCGCCATGGCGAGGGGGGGCGGGGCCAGGCCGGGATGGGGGAGGGGCCAGGCCGGGTAGGGGGGTGGGGAGGGGCCCATCCCGCCGGGACCGAATTCCTAGCCCCTCCCCCTCCCTCCTCTGGGCCACAGATAGCGTTCCCTCCCTGGTCTCCGCGCGGTCCGCCTGAAAGGGAGAGGGAGGGGGTGCCGCGGTGGCGCCACTGTCCCCCACCCCGGGGGCTTAGGCTTCCTGGAGAGGAAGGCGTTGTCGAGGAGTCAGCCCGCGGAACCTCCCCTCCCGGGCCAGGTGTGGGGGGGGCCTGAGGAGAGGCTGAACAGCATCCCCCTCGTCTGACTCCGCCTCCTCCTCCTCCTCCTCCTCCTTCTCCTTCCCCTCATCTGTTCCCTTCCCCCTCTCCCTCCCCTCCCCCTCCTTACCGAGGGGTAACCCCTCGGTTACCTCTGCTGCCTCGGAAGCAGGACTCGGGGTAAGTGTTACCGCCTCCCCTCGGGGGCAGCGGCAGCTGCAGCAGCTGCGCCCGGGAGAGCTTCAGTTTCCGCCCCCCAGAGGTTCGGACCCGGGGTGGGAGAGGATGAGGCTGGGGCAGGGGAGCTCCCTGCGGGGAAAGGACTCCACGTGGGCGAACTGGGCGGGAGACGCTTCAGCTTCTCTCCACGCCCCCCATCCCGGGGCAGGGGCTCCCCAAATTGTCCCCCCCCCCCAGACCTCCTGCTGGGAGGAGAAATCCAGTATCCAAAGCATCCTGCACCCTCGGCAGGAAGGGGCTCTGTAAACTCGAGCTGTGTGCGGGAGCATCATCCCATGCCACCCTCAAGTTACTGCAAGTTCAATACTGTGAGCGTCCGCAGTCACCTCCGGGACTGGAAGGGGAGGGCAGGCTTCTTGCTTTTCCTCCCCAGTCTTTACAATTTCTTTTTAAAAAGCTGGAACTGTTTCACAATTTCTTCACGTTCCACAGGGTCCAGCCAAGGCAACTAAAATTTATTAAGCATTTCCTATAACCAGGCACTGTGTTTTAAAAAAAAAATCTGCCACCTGTGCACAAATGTGGTCTTTTTTTTCCTTTTTAATAGTTTTAAACATTTTTATTTTTAATAATTTCCTTCCCCTCCCAAAAGATTATTTTGTTAGGTACCTTGTTCCTTGCAGCATACTTTAAATGTATTCAAGAAAGTTTCAATGCATAATTTTGGAGTGAAAAATATAAAGGGAAGTTGTTAGCTATTATTGTGCTACTACTATTTTTATTTCGTGCAGCTGCTAGGTACTTTTTGTTAAACAGATGAATAACTTTGTTCTAAGTTATTTGACAACTGGGAGAAAATAAAATACAGATTTAGTTCTTGATTCTAAGCACCTATTGGATGAAATTCCTTATAAATGTAAGATATTTGTTTGTCATGAGGTGTTTATATTTTAAATATAGTAAAGCTGGACTTGGAGACAAGTACTCTGAATTAGTGAAAAGTCAGAATTACAGAGTATTTAGTAAGTAAAGTTCATATATTCCTTTCAGAGTTAGGCTAACACCTTGACTAGTAGGGAGCCTAATGGGGCTACTTTAATGAATATCTGAGTAACTTGTAATTAGCATATGAATTTTGTTTGAAAAGAAGTACTTTAAAGTATTTTAAGTTAAACACTGTTCATCCTTTGATTTCTCTTTGCCCTATCCCCACCCCCTTTATGGGAAAAGGGTTTGCTAAACAGATTTCACCAATCCCATGGCAGTTAGCACAAATGAATCAGTGGAATCTAAATTAATTAAGTTTTTACAGTTTTCGATTTAAAGGATTGGGCAAACAACAGTATTTCTCTTTATTTCTTGTATAGATTTTTGCTGAGGATGATAGTAAAAAACATGTTTTTGAAATCCACATTAATTGGGTGAAGTGATTTAGAAACCTCTAATTGTAAGGAGTACTTTTGACCAGATGAATTTTATTTTTGTTTGAGATATACAATAGACAAATTGCTACAATTACGTTGTGTGTTTTTAGGGAACATTAACAATGTATTTTTAAAAGTGGGGAAAAAACCAAACAACTTGATGTGTTTATGTGTATACTGTTGCAGATTGACTTTTTTAAAATTTAAAATAGGTTATGGTTAGCAACCAGAAGACTCCCAGAACTATATCTATATGCACACACATACATATATATAGGTATATGTATGTATGTGTGTGTGTGTATAAAGTTTGATATCATTGGTTTTCAAGTTATGTCCCATTAGTCCCCCCATTCCCTTGAACTACCTAACCTGTCCCTCCTTAAAAAAAAAAATGCAAAGACTATGCTGGGACTCACCACCACTTAGTACTTAGTACTTAGCAGCCTATTTCAGTGGGTATAGAGAGGGGAGTTAGTGTCTAGCTTCCCTTGACAACTTACTCAATTTTCTCCTCTGCACTTCCTCCCTACTTCCCTACTAAAGTCACTGAAAGAAACATTGGTGTAATTGATGTACATACTTTTGAAGCATTACTCTAAATATGTTTTTTAAAAAAGTAGCTTGTAATTGTCTCCCTAAGACTTTGTCCTTAGCTTTCTTCTCTATACTCTATCACTCTTGTGGCTTTCTATATCACCTCTGTGCATGGATGACAACCATCACAAACTGGTCCAGTCTTCCTGCCCATTTTTATTTTGTGGTACTTCCCTTCACAAACTATATGCTATAGCCAAATTGGAACACATTGTCGCTCACTTATCTTGGCATGTCCTCTCCACCTCAGTGTATTTGTATATACAAAATCTTATACCTATAAAGTGACTCTTCCCTACTCTTATTAACACCCCCACACATATGTATATATCTATGTTTTATATGTATATACACACACACACACATATATGCCTATTGAAATATTTTAAGACCTAGCAAGATAGTCTCCTCTATGAAAACTTTCCTGCTCTCTCTAGCTAGAAGTGATCCTTCCCTCCTCAAAAACTAACATATTTCTGATATATTTATTTATATGTCTCATATGCTCCCTCCTGACCTCCCCACACACAGTATATTGTGACTGTCATTTTTTCCTCTTTATGCCTACATCATAACAATACAAACAATGAGTGTTTGTTGTATCAAACATCAGAACGTGTTATATTCTGAGAAAAACCTCTTTTAAATATTCCAGATTACTTTTTTTTTTTGGGTGAGGCAGTTGGGGTTAAATGACTTGCTCAGAGTCACACAGCTAGTGAGTTATGTGTCTGAGATCAAATTTGAACTCAGGTCCTCCTGACTCCAAAGCCAGTGCTCTATCCACTGTGCCACCTAGCTGCTCCCTCCAGATTACTTTTACATGCAGAAGAGCTTGCAGAGGAGAAGAAGGAGGCTCTGGTGAGTTAAAGGAGCCCTTTAGAGGGATTCTTGAAGAGTCACACTTACCAGGAGTATGGGATATACTTACTATAGGGGGGATTTCAACTACTAAAAATGTTTTGTAAATGACATCTGCAGATTCAAGATATTACTAAAATGATACCATCTTAGTAAAGCTTTTGAAGACATTCTTGAGGACCATTAGTCAGTCAGTAAACATTTATTAAGTGCCTACTATGTGCCAGACACTGTGCTAAGCAATGGAGATATAAAAAGAGGCAAAAGAACAATGTAATTTTGAGCTAGTGGCAAGCAAGGATGTCAGCTTTCTCTTTTCAACCATTGAATAAATAAGCCCACAAAAGAATTAATTATCTGTCTGATTGCTTTCAAGCATTAACTTTCAAGGAGCTCACTCACCTCTTACTTTTTTTTTAAAAAGTTTATTCATTTTATAAAGTACTTCAGACACTTCAATGAATCTGTGATTTCATTGATATGGGTACTTTGCGAACAGTGTAGATTATAATCTGTCTACACCTCACATCTACCCATAAATCTTCCATAAGGGGTCCTCTCAACATGCTAAAGACTTTTTTTTCACTAGATTTCTAACATTCTGTGGTTCCCAGTACAAAATTCATTCAGGCTTTTCATCCATTATCCTTTGCTCTTGCTATATGACCAACCTTAGTTCTTTACAAATCATACATTTTCTATCCTACTTCTAGTGAACAAGTTATCATTGTTATTATGCTGCACCCATTTACATTGACAACATGTCTCTTCATTACCCTTTGAGTACTCATAATTTTTATTGTTTTGAAATTGTGTTCCCTAATTCATAACCATATAGGATCACCAGAAAACTATGAGTGTTTTTAAAAAAATTTTTTTTATATTAGTGGGTAGCTTGGGATCATTGAAAGCATTGCACAGTTTCTGAAATGCGGTCCAACTCACTCTCTTTGTCCTATTCAATTCAGGAGTCTAGCTCATTACCAATCTAGTTCAATTGCAATGTACCTGTTCAAGATATATTTACTATTGATCATAGAATTGCATATATAGACTGTTCATACCCTCCCTCCTCCCTTTCATCCTTCTCTTCCTTCCTTTCTTCCTCACCTGGGCTAGTGAGCTTGGTGGCCCATAGCTGCCATGGGGGAGCACTTTATTGTCTCTAGCCCCACAGCGCTCTAAACTCGAACTATCCACTGAGTAGCAGGGATTATAGGCATAAACCACCATACCCAGCCATACACTTGCTTTTTCCTGTTCATATTGTTCAAACTGAACTCTTAAGTGGTTGTGGGTTTCATTAAAGAGATTTTGGAGTATTCTGGGTTTTAATGAAATCACTTTAGTGTCATTTGCAAGCAGGCACATCTGTAGGGTTGCTCTTACATGTGTACTCTATTCTAGCTAATCATTGTAACAATGAGAAATACATTTGGAAAGCATATAGTTCCTTGTTTTATGCCTTGTATGATACTGCTAAGATAAATTGAATAGCACTATTTTTGTTATTTCATCTGTTGCATCTTGTAAATCAATATCCAAGTATTTTTAAGTGCCTGTTGTGTTGGAGGCACTGTGGAACAAAGACAAAAATGAAACAGCTTTCAAGAAACTTACTTTCCATTGGTAGAGATGACAGGTACTTAATAAATATGTACAAAATAGACAAATACATAGTAACTTTTTCATATGGTATGCACTGATAGCTGGGGGAATCAGGAAAGACAGTGTTGAAGAAAGTCCTTGAGCAGAATTTGGAAAGAAACAAAGGATCTCTAAGAGGCAGAGGTAAAGAGGGAATGCATTCCAGTTGTGGAGAATAGCCAGTGCAAAGGTGTGGAGATGGAAGAGGGAGTGTGAGAAACAGCAAGATGGACAGTCTGGCAGGACCTATGGTGTGAAAGGATGGAGAGTAAGGTAGCATAAAGTTGGAAAGGTCATATATTGAAGGGCTTTAAAAGAGGACTGTGATCTTAGAGGCAATAGAATCATTGGAGTTTTTAGGTAGGGGAGTGACATCCTCTAACCCAGAAATGTCAAGTGTACCCTCCCTCCTCTCCCAGGTCCCAGGCTCCATGTGGGCCCACAACTCTTCCTAGTGCTGCTATATTCAGT